AGGTGAAATAAATAGCCTGGCACTGTGAAATGGCAGCAAAATCTACCTACCAGCACAAGCTAACTAAATAACATAAATGATAATAATAAATAATATTAATAATTAATTTATAATAAATTAATTATTAAGTTTTAGTAACACCGTTTTTTTCCTGTTTTTTTGTTGTTTTTCTAACCATTTGACAGAACCAGCCAGGCAATTTCCTCATCCAACTGTCCACCAGAAAGCAAAAAGCATACAATAGTGTATTTTGTTGAACTCCTCTATATGTTTGGGGGTTTTTACATAGAATGAAATGCAGTCCTGCAGATTTGACATATAAATTCTGCTTAAGGGTCTTATAGATGATGTATTATTATTATTATTTGTAACTGGGTAGAGGGCTCGGTTGAGGGACAGGTTCCTAGAAAAGGGCCCCATTTGAGAGGCAAGATGAAGGTGTGGGTGTCTTTTGCCTCATCCTTAGTGTCAGGGTGTTTGAGTTAGCAACCTTGCTAGAAAACAGATAATTTACACCATGATGATGAAACAGGAGTAATAATTGTGTGAATAAACTGATGAAATTTGACACTGCTGACACATAAACATGTAGCACAACGTATATTTCAATACATGCATTATATACATAGTAGATATGATCCAGGAGCTAACATCCAGAAAAAGCACATGTGTATAAAATAAAATAATATATGGCTTACTGGGATACAATAAAGCCATCTAACCCCAGAGCTTTTCCTACTATGTCAAGTCTGCTGTGCAAAAAGCCGATACTGAGTTTACAAGCTTTACATTATCAGTGTGAATACAGAAAATAGGCCTACTACACAAGATTGAGACCAGCATTTGAAGGAAGAACCAGCTGATCACTCTGAGGATGTGTTTAAAACATGAAAGAGATTCAAGCTACATTTTTAGGGAACATGGGATCTTAACGGATGGATGATTCAAACCTGATTTTAACCATAACCACTTGTCTGTGGGTGTCTAACCTCTCAGCTGTTGTCAAACATCTGGCTGAATATTTGCGAGTGAGACAATCTACCAACTGGAGCGTCATGCCTGGATAATCGACAGGGAAAGTAGGGCAGCTGACGGGGCCAAGAACCATCCAGGGGCCCCTGAAAGACACAGCTTTATATTTTACAACATCTTTATAATTCTGTGCAGATTCTAGACCCCATGTTTAATTTAATTTAAGAATTTGAGACAGCACTACCCACAACCGTTATTAACGTTATCAGTTCCACCTGTGGCTTTTCCTGTCAAAATGCCATGAAAAATTCCTGTACTATTAATAATTTATAGGCCACTTAGATACAATCCCGCACTTCTACAAATGATAGTACTCCACTGACTCATAGCTAAGAAACCCTCACACTACCCTAACTCACACTCCCTCAAAGACACACTAACTGTACATACATATTATTTATTTTAACTCCTCCTTTCGCATTGTTTAACCACAAACAAGTTTTATATTTATGTAACATTCAAGTCATTTTGTTCCTGTTCTCGTGTGATGCTTCTCACTTGTGTGACATTAGGTGCGCATGTGACAAAAGTATTTGAATCCTTGAGCTTTCATAAAGTGAAGAGTTTCCTATATGATGGAATAACCTCACTAGTGTCCTACGAATTATGTTCATATTGGTAGATTCTGTACTTTATGATTTATGTCTGTTGCAAACGTCCAGTGCCATAGCAGCACATAATGTGCCCTTTATACTGCGAGGCAGAGAGCAACGGTGTGATGGATTAATGTGCCTACTGAATGGTCACAAAATTGAGTTTCTAATCTGCCCATACGGTTGTTTGTTTTTGTGTGTTTGTTACATTAGTTTGCTGTAAATTGATTTACTCGATTATCTAGGACAATGTAGTATGTGAGCAGAAAATAATCTATAAAAATCTAAAATAATTAAAGTGTCAAAACTAGATTCTGAAGCAGGGCTCCTCTACAAGACAGGGTATCAATGTTAGCTAATAATGCAGGGCCCACCTTTGTTGGTACTTAACTTTAATGGTGCATTTTTCTTGCAAATTACAAGTAATCAAATTCCCCAAAAACCAGCTGACATGCAGTAAACCTGGGGTTCCCTAGGGATTGGTTTTGGGGGTCCCTAGTGATTTAATTTATCTAATTTTAGTGACAAAGCACACTGATCAACATCACTGTAAATGTGCCAGTGTTAGGTGAAAGTATTTTTCAACAGTTGTCTCTTGGCCAAAGCAACCATCCTGCAAAGTAGATGAGTGATTCTGAACCTGATACCCCCCACACTGATACACATCAGACCACAGACCCGTATACGATCAGATGTAGTCTCAGGGATCCCCGTCTGATAAGATTGAATTATTCCACCTATACTGTGGACAGACTGTAGATATGAACACAATATTCATTCTTATACATTCTCTAAGTGGGATAACTTTTAACCAGGGAAATAATGGTGAAATTAAAATATTCTACATTTAATACAAAACAATGTTAAGCAGACAAACAGTGTATAGGCAGTTAAACCATGACATTACCTTACAGAAGTCACAGGTAAAACAAATGGGACTAACAGTTGAAAATGCATGTTTTCAGGCTTGCAGTGACCAGGTATGATTGCTCGGGGGCCCGGGGGCAGTTGCCCAATTTGCATGGTAAATATTGGTTAATTCAGCCTTGCCCATAGATGTCCAACTGGATTAAGATCTGGTGACTGTGAGGGGACACATAGCAAACTATTACAGATCCATAAGGAACAGTGGAAAGAGGGAGATTTGATATAAACTCATAGACACTATCAAAATCAAAGGAAGACTACGACACAGAGCCGTATATATTTAATTTAAGGTCCCAGTGTGCTCAGTTAAGAGGTTGGCAAGATATAAAGGTATTCCTCAAGAGCAGCGTTCAGCGTTGGTGTTACTGAGGATGAATTTAATTTTGTTTTTCACTGACTTGCGGAACCATCTGTTTAAAAAAAAATCCAATTGAAGAATTGATTTGTTTTTGTTGTCTGAAGCAGAAATGTTGAGTTTCTTCTTCCAGGAGAAGATTTTTGTTTTAGCAGGATTTACAGAAGATGCATAGCAATTAAGACAAAGAGCACTGTATCCAACATAATGAGACATTTTGGTCAGGAAAATGTAACATTATGATTTTTAATGTGGAGATCCTGGCTGATGTTGCTTTAGTGCTGAGGTTCTCAACCTTTTTCTATCATTGACTAAACTGCTGACCCCTAATTAAATGACATATTTTGTGGATATCTCATATTATATTCAATGTATAGAAATAACAGTACAGAACAACTGATCATTTGTACATAGTGAACACAATAACTGAAGGATTATTGATTGTTTTCCTCATATTTTTAGGAACTTTTTATACAATTCTTTGTCTGTATTGTGTTTTTATTTAGTTTTAAACAGTCATACACACTTAATTCAGTGCTTGTTCTATTTTCTCTTTGGTTGCTTTAACTGAATACTATTTTACTGCAAGATGATGAGATATAGGCCTACTGTGTATATTTGTAAAGTTTTCTCACAACCCTTGAAATCAAGAAGGCCTTGTGACCCTGTGTGAATGTTTGGCGACTGCTAATAGGGGTCCTGACCCCCAGGTTGGGAACTACTGCTTTAGTGTCTATATCTATCTAGTGTGAATCAATCAATCAGTCAATCACACATAAACATACTGTAAAACTTTCATTAATAGCCCAGGCTCACTGAACTCAACCTGCCTTTATAACAGAGCTTTTAAAACCTTTAGCACAAAACTCTTCCTCAGTAATTTTTCAAATTGATTATTTAAACCAGTATAAATATTACTTCTGTTGAATAACATATGAATGAGAAATTATTAATTTGATCATTTTATAATTTGGTACTGATGGTTTCTGTAAAATGTCTGTTCAAGGTGTTTAGCACTCCCACCTCTGCTAATTAAGACTGTTTAACTTTAACCTGTATCTTTTTACACAAACTTACCTTGTAACAATTGCACATATGCACTGTTTGAAATATGTTTTGCACACTGTATTCCACTTTTAATAGGTACTGGCCTCTGCAGACCGGGAACGCCCCACAAGAGCTGCAGGTTTGGAGATGCTCTGACCCAGTCGTCTAGCCATCACAATTTGGCCCCTTGTCAAAGTCGCTCAAATCCTCACGTTGCACATTTTTCCCGCTTCTAACACATCAGCTTTGAGGTCCAAATGTTCACTTGCTGCCTAATATATCCCACCCACTGATAGGGGCCATGACACGCACATAATCAATGTTATTTACTTCACCTGTAAGAATCAGAAATACTTTATTAATCCCTGTTTGTTAGAGTTGATCAACTCACACATGGTAAAGAATAGAAATAATACTTATATTTACAATATCTAACACAATATACAGAATAGAAATGTATGTACAGGTATATAAATCAATAAAAATAAGGATAAAAATAAAAATGGAAATATAATAAGAGCCTATACACAAAGTAAATATAAGTGTAAACATATTCCACAGTGACAGAAAATTAAATAGCAATGAGTTTAAGATTAATATAGATGTAATAGACAATTACAAGGAATGATTGAATAATTACAGAATAATTCAGTGCTCGTAATGTTATTAATGTATGTTTATTTTACGATTATATTACTGTATTTGAACTCTTCTCTACTATTTGCACCACATTCGTTATACATCTCCATTTCAATTCATATCCTTCCCTATAAGCGTGTATAGAGAGACAAACAGATAACATATTTGGACAGAAAGGGTGTAAACAACACAAACAAACAACATATTTGGACAGAAAGGGTGTAAACAACACAAACAAACACATCCTCACGTCACAGATTTCAAGATCTCGCCGCTCTCACTGTTCCTCGGCAACCGTGACGTCACCGCCCCGGCCAATCGCAGAGCTCGCCGAGAGTGACGTTGCTTATCGCGAGGTTAGCACGTTAGCCTCGGCGAGTTGGCTAGCCGCGAAAAAAAAAAAAAAAAAAAAAAAAAAAAACAGCTTGCCTGTGTGCCCCCGCTGTTTTACGATTTAAACACTCCTTAAATCATATAAGATACAAAAATAAAAACACAGACGGGACGGCGGAGTTGTCCCTTTTTTTCGTCATTGTCTTGTCTCCGCCCGCCAGAGAGGATAATCGCCGGAGCTTGTGTTTGCACGGTGAGTTGTGTAAACGCACACAGGCTGCTGCTAGCTAGCCGGGGCTGCTGCCCGGGAGGAAACGGGTTTGTTTTGAAAGCCTCTGAATCATTTCTTCGTGACCCTAGCAAACCCTCAGACGAGATTTAAACGTAGAAACATAACGTCTGTTGTTTTGTTGTTAAATTTGTGATTTTTTTTTTTTGTCGTCCGTGTCGACGCTCAACGTTTAATATCGATGTCTCTGCGCGGTTGTAGCGTTGCTCGTCGTGCAGGTACAAACTGTGGCCGAGCTGTGTCAGTCTTGCTCACTGTATTTTCCATTGGCTTTTCCGCTTTCCAGGATCCCCAATGATGAGTTATGCTGAAAAGCCAGAAGACATCACGAAAGAAGAGTGGATGGACAAATTAAACAATGTTCATATACAGAGGGCGGATATGAATCGGCTCATTATGAATTACCTGGTGACAGGTGAGGCGTGTGAGGTTGACAGCAGTGACTGTGAGCTTAAATATATAATATAACTTTTGTACAAGTCTTAAAAAAAATAAGTAAATTAACATCTGTGTCTCTGCCTGTTTCACATCTGTTTCAAGAGGGATTCAAAGAGGCTGCGGAGAAGTTTCGGATGGAGTCTGGGATCGAGCCAAGTGTGGACCTGGACTCTTTGGATGAACGGATAAAGATTAGAGAGATGATCCTGAAGGGACAGATACAGGAAGCTATTGCACTCATCAACAGCTTACACCCGGAGCTGCTTGACACCAATCGATACTTGTATTTTCATCTGCAGGTACGTGTGCGCAGATCTTTGTAATCCGAATCAGTAGTTCTGATTTTAGTCTGTTCCTCTGTGAACTAGAAAGTACTTCATCGTCATGTTAGTTGTAGACAGAAGAGCCTGAAGTTTATGGGGTGAACTTTACAAACTTTGGAAGTGATGAAGAGAACTGTTACAATCTAAATAAACATTTAACCCCCGTCCATCCCCTGTAGGTAATAACCAGGCTGTCAGATCATGTTCTTGTCATCTCTTCTGGTTCATCAGGAAAATATTGTGATACTAGATAAAGTGTGAACTTAAACATTCACTGCTTGTACTTCCATCCCCCCCTCTTGCAGCAGCAACATTTGATTGAGTTAATCAGGCTAAGGGAGACTGAGTCAGCGCTGGAGTTTGCCCAGACACAGCTGGCCGAGCAGGGGGAGGAGAGCCGCGAGTGTCTGACAGAGATGGAGAGAACATTAGCCCTTCTGGCCTTTGACAACCCAGAGGAGTCACCCTTCGGAGACCTGCTTAACATGATGCAACGACAAAAGGTAGGCTGGTTTATGTCCGGGCCTGATAAACAGACTAAAATGTTATTTCACTACACTATTTCACTGGGGAAAAAGTGTGTTTTTCACACCTGCTGCCTTTTAATCCTGTAATATTACAATACAAACTACCTTTCTTTTGTCCTGTTTGTACCTGAGGTCCTCTGCCTTTTGTAGTTCTGGTCCACGTTGTGCACACTAACTTTTTACAAACAGGTCAAGAGTTGTAAGCGTGACAGTTTAGGTGTCGTCCTGCTTCAACAGCATTACATGGACCCACGTGGGGAAATCCCAGTGACTGTGCTTCATATTTATACATTTATGTTCAAAAAGAGACGATGAAGATGAAGAAAAAACTGATTATGAGCATTTGTTATGTATTATTAGACTCCAAATAAACAGCACGTTATTAATTATGACAAACACAGAAAAGGAAAGAAAAGAAGCTTCTTGTACAGCCGCACTACAGGAAAGGTTATTATTGTGGAGTTGCTATGTCATACACTTTTTAATAGACTTCTAAAAGTACATGGAGTAGGATACAAACAGGACACACTGCTGTTATAGCTTCATTTGACTGCTTCATTTTATGTATCAGGAACTCACTGCACTCCTGTGATAACGTGCACACATGCTACCATGTTTACCAGATGATTTACATAAACATATTCCATGCTCATAAAGACTGTTTGTTTATAGACAGTGTGAACGGTGCAGAATCAGCAGATGGATTTAGTAGTAGGACTCTGAAAAGGTGGAAGTGGACCGAGACCCTCCGTGTCAGCTGGTTATTTGGCAGCTTTTACACCGAACTAAACGATCTAAATCAAACAGAGTTTATTTAAACTGAAACAAACCACTTAGGTGTGAACGCACCAGGCGACTGAAATCCTGCTTGTTGTGGCAGAGTGTGTGTCAGACCACTACTATTTGTTTATTTCTGTTTTGACTGTAACACATATATTGATGCACAGGTGTGGAGTGAGGTGAACCAAGCTGTGCTGGACTATGAAAACAGAGAGTCGACGCCCAAACTGGCTAAACTCCTGAAGTTGCTGCTGTGGGCACAGAATGAGCTGGACCAGAAGAAGGTGAAATACCCCAAAATGACTGACCTTAGCACGGGCACCATCGAGGACCCCAAGTGAAGATAACAGACAAGAACAACCACCTTCCACGTCCCCTTAATTTATGATCAGTCAGTGACTGTGTGACAACCAGGTAACATATATGTATAAACAAATGCTACGTTGTTTTTTTTTTTTCATGTTTCATTCATGAGAGGTTAAGACTTAACTCATTGTGCAAACTGTAAATTGCTGTATTTGCAAATTGACAGAAATTATTTAGTTTAAATACTGAATCCTGGATTTTTAGATAGATCTTGGAGACAAGAAAACTCAAATTGCTGTTTTATATTTTGTCTTTCTAAAGCCTAAGCCAATAGTATTATTTATTGTGACCGTTGTCCCCAACCAAGACTTTATTTTGCCAGAAAGAGAGTTGATGGTTTAAATGAACATTGTTAATACTGTAGCTTGTGTGTGTGTGTGTGTGTGTGTGTGTGTGTGTGTGTGTGTGTGTGTGTGTGTGTGTATGTGTGTGTGTGTGTGTGGAGCCCAAAGCTTGGTTCCACAGGATGGAGGGGAGTACAGCTGTAAAGGTTTAAACTTTGAAACAGCAGGCACACAATCGCCCTTTTTATAAGTGAAGATGTGTTTAGACTGAGATGACACACTGCAAGAGTCTAGATCAGAAATAAATTTAAATTTCATACACAAAAATGTGAGTATTTTTCAATTAAATGGAAAGACACACTTTATTAATGTAATATAGTTTTAATTAATATAACATTTCATCGATTTTTGTTTAGTATCACTTGCTTTCTACACTTTTTGAAATTTGATTGTACCTTTACAGTATGTCTATGGGATGAACTGCCTTTGCAAAATGATCATTTCTTGAGTGTTTGAGAGGGTTGAAATAAGTCCTGACTGACGGGTTGAAATCAGAGATGGCTTTCTGACTGAGTTTAACACCTTTTTTTCTGAGTCTAAAGAATGCACGGCCCCCAAAACATGCTCCAAACGGTTGTGGATGGGTTTTATGTTAAAAGGGGTTGAGGTCAGGATAACGTTCTGCCCCCCGGAAGGGGGATTTATACGCTGCTCGAGAGAAAGGGCTGCTCCGATAAAGAAATGCGAATGAGTGACGGGGGCCAAATACTACAACTCTCTAGTTAGAGAACTCATATAATTAAAATCTATTCAGACCTATTCTTCTGTTCATTGGCTTTGTTTTTGCAATTAACAATGATCAAAAGCAGGCATTTTAAAAACAGTCACAGAACTTCCTGTCCATTTTGCCACTTATCAGTATTTTCAATTCAACTGCATGTAAGTTTATCTTCTTTTTTTTCAATGGGGAAAGGCACTTGTGCTTGTTTTATTTTATTTGGTTTGTTTACTTTTTATAAAAAAAAAAAAACAAACTTGCTGCTAGTTGTCCATCCTTAATTTCTTTTAAGGTTGTATTGTCTTTATAGATATTGGCTTTGTCAAATACTGAGACCCAGAGTGCTCACATCCCTTTTATTATTCAACATTTTTAAGATCAGATTTGCAATTATTAAAATAAACAAAACTTTTGTGAACCATACAAGAGCTGTTTTTTTGTTGTTGTGATGTTCCACTGATATTTGGTATATAAGAGTTTATTTTATTTTTAAACTAATGAAGCATTTTTCAATAGAACAAATATACTTATGTCCTTTTTAAATATGGGCCTATGCAAACTATTACCCAGGAAAACCACCACCGCTCAGACCTCTGCTGTCAGTCTTGCAAATCACGAGCAAGTTCTCTCTGAGTTTTGTCCCAACAAGTTTTACCTGTTTGGCACGTCTGCCTGAGGATAATAGGTACAGCTGAAGCACACCACCTCTCAGCGCGGCAGAGTTGCACATACGACCGAGGAGAAACCAGTGTTCTCTGAATGGCTGACGAGCACACATCAAGAGATAGTAGGAATGACTTCAGTAGTCCTCTGTTGGAGCCGGAGGTTTGTACAGCCGGTGATTCTACCGAAGAGGAGCCGGAAGACCAGAAACTGTGGCCCAGGTAAGAACTGCACAAGATTTAGATCACAATGCTGAGATTTAGTTTTACACCTTCCTACTGCTAGTAAGAGTCTAAGTCAGTGGTTCTCAACTGGTTTCACCTTCACACTTTCTGATTTTCCATTCAAAGTCTGTCACTTGTTGAGAAAACATGTTCAGAGTTCTCCGTCAGAGCTGAATTACTACAGTGTAATGTGTCAAATGTAAGTCAAAAGTACAGACATTTCCCATCTTCCCGCCTCTGATTACACGGTTCATGATTTCTTAAAATGAGTGGATTGTAAACCCGGTTTTGCTGACTGGGCAACCATAATATGTAATGTGCATTTACCAGAACGGCAGAGGCAAATATTGCCGCACACTTGCTTCCCTGGAATTAAGTTATTTGTTTAGTCATGCCGGTGGTGCTGCTCTGTGGATGGCATTGTTGGTCCAGACCAGAGTTATTATAGTTTTGTATTTTATTTATATGTATGTTTTATTTTTATTTTGTTTTTAAGTTTTGTTTTTTATTCAGTTTCAGTTTCAGTTTAGTTTTATTTTTAACTTTGAGTTTTGTTTTTATTAGTTTTGTTGTTGGTTTTAGTTTTTTAAAAACAATAACATGGGGGCTATTTGTCTGGGGCAAGTTTTAAGACAATCAGATAAGGTTTTACAATACAAACACTGTGTGACCACAGTTGATACACAATCATGTAGAAATCCCAGTGTTACACTTGTTTTATTTTAGTTCATTTTGTAAGTACACGCAATATTGTTTCATTAGTTTCTAAAGTGTATTATTATTATTATTATTATTATTATTATTTCAGTGTACTAAAATGTGTGTGTGTGTGTGTGTGTGTGTGTGTGTGTGTGTGTGTGTGTGTGTGTGTGTGTGTGTGTGTGTGTGTACAGTTGTTACTACACACATTATGTTGTCATTAAGTACAAACAGTTTCCCCTTCACGCTTATAGACCTCTGGCTCGAAAATGGATCCTGACGCTGTTTATGGGCACCTGCCTCCTCTACTGTGCCAGGATGGCCATGCCAATCTGTGCAGTGTCGATGGCCGCCACTTTTCACTGGAATAAGATCGATTCTGGACTGGTTCTGGGTGGATTCTTCTGGGGTTACTGTTTCACACAGATCCTGGGAGGACATGCCAGTGACAAGTGAGCAATTCAGCTGGCATCGTAGCACGTCTTCACAAGGCTCTGTGTGAACGACGAGCTCAAATCTTCCATGAAACATTTATTATTGAGTTAGGTTTAGAGTTTCAGGATCTAACTCTATAATGTTTGCTGTTGTATTAGAGTGGGAGGAGAGCGTGTCCTGTTCATCTCTGCGGCCTCCTGGGGTCTGATCACAGCTGGTACTCCTCTTCTGGCCCATCTAGGCTCTCACACCCTCGCCCTCATGGCGATGGCCAGATTCCTCATGGGACTACTGCAGGGTGAGCACTGTTCTAGTCACACTATTGAAATAAGCACTTAAAGGAGTAGTCCAACATTTTTGGGTATACGTGTGTTCACTTTCTTGCCAAGAGTTAGATGAGAAGATTGATGCCACTCTCATTTCTGTACACTAATGATAAGGCTAAAGTCAGCAACCAGTAAGCTTAGTTTAGCTCAGCATAAAGTCTGGAAACACGGGGGAACAGTTAGCCTGGTCCTGTGCAAAAGAAACAAAATCTACCCACCAGCACTTCTACAGCTCACAAATTAATCCATTATTCATTTTACCGTATTAAGTGTAAAAAAAATAACAAGTTGTGATTTAATGGAGTTACATGCTGTATCATTTTAAGAATATTTTTCAAAATGTATTCAAATAACATTGTCTGAAATAAAAGCTCCACAGGTAGTGACGGTAGCTCTGCCAGGTGGGCTACCTGAGTGTCATCTCTCTCTCTCTCTCTCTCTCTCTCTCTCTCTCTCTCTCTCTCTCCCTTTCTTGTCTATCTTCAACTGTCCTGTCAATAAAAGGCAAAAAGCTTAAAAATATATTAAAAAACATAAAAATAAAAGCTCCAGTGCTGCAGGAAATATGAATAAATTGAATCAGTGATGTCCGAACTGTCCAAGCTCACAGATATCACATATCTTATGATGTCTTATAGGGGTTTTTTTCCCGTCTCTGGCCAGTCTTTGCTCACAGCGTGTAGGGGAAGGCGAGAGAGGGTTTTTAATGAGCACCATGCACAGCGGTAGCCATCTTGGGTATGTTAACACACACACACACACACACACACACACACACACACACACACACACACACACACACACACACACACACACACACACACACACACACACACACACACAAATCCTCACATGAAACACACCATCTATCCCTTGTGACATCTTTTATGTTTTGCTCTTTCAGGACATTGCTAGCAGGTGGGATGGGGTCTGTGATGCTGGATGAGTACGGCTGGGAAAGCATGTTCTACAGTACTGGTTTCCTGTCCGGACTCTGGGCGCTCGTTGTCTGGCAGTGTTTCCTAAAAGGTACGGTAACTATTGCACTAGTCACTCATGCATCCATGAATAACCATGACCATAGGTTGTCACCTAGTCAGTATGGAGAAAGCTGAATGAGCCTTCCTTAGCTCTGCCTCTTTCAGCTACTGGATGGCAAGGTCGTCAAATACAGATACCGGTGGTGTTCAGTTAGTTGCAATCGGAAACTTCACCGCTAGATGCCCCTAAATCCTACACACTGGTCCTTTTAAGTTTTCATCTAGCGCCATCATCAGGTCAAAATTAATTTGTCCAATGCTTTTGTTTATGACCAAACATCTGCAAAACTAAAGACATTCGAATCAGCCTCAGCTGCACTTTGAGTATTATTCGTACTATGTTGCAAAATGATCAACAGTGTCAAAGTAATGTATTTAATATATAATTATAATGTTCACTGTGTGTTTCAGGCGAAGTTGTCCCCAAGCAGATGAAATTGAGTAATGACTCACAATTGAGTGTGTCAAGAAAACGCTGGCTCAGTCTTTTTAAGAAGCCACCCGTCTGGTACAGTTTATATTCTTTAATTCTTCAATGTTTATTCATACAGTTCCTGCAGTGCTGTAATACTCGAGTCCAGTCTCAAAGCTTTATTTTCTATTGTCTCTGACTCGTTTCGGACTTGGCCGGATTGGACTCACCGAATTTTCTAGTTCGAGTTCAGCAATGTTATTGTTGTGTTTTTTTCTAAAGTAACCTCATCCTTCAAAACAAAGCCACTGATGTAGCACCGTTGTTCAGAAAACGGGTTTCAGTTCAATTCAAAATCCTTATGGGCCACGTGGTAACCATGGTTACTAATGAACGTCACTTTCAAGCGTATGCCTGTTTGTCAATCCTAATTCTCTCATGTGGACTCTGTCTTGACTTGGACTAGTCCTGGTCTTGGACTTGTCTTGGACTACAACACTGCATTCTTGTTTGAGTTTCCAGCCTAACCTGTCTCTCCGTCTTTGTCGTCTTCTTTCAACAGGGCCATGGTGTTTGCTCACATGTGCATGTGCAGCACCTCCTACACTTTACTGTCATGGTTGCCAACATACTTCAAAGAATCCTTTCCACATGCCAAGGTATTTGTTCACTCCAGCCTATGTTTTTATTAAGGCTATAAACACGTTCAATGTGACACTCTCAGACTAAGACTTCAGAGATGCTCATCATTTAAATGCCATAAGAAAAACAGGTTAATGTACCCACTAACTTGTCTGTTCCTGCAGGGATGGGTGTATAATGTAATTCCATGGCTTGCTGCAATCCCATCAGCACTTGGTGGAGGATATGTTTCAGATTTTCTTATCAACCAAGGTATTAAAATAGTGTCATTATTCCTTTATTGTCTTTTAGGTCAGTAACTGTATCTTTCATTAAAAACAACATGTTCACCAAAACATCTTGTGTTTTCTTTTTCTGTAGGATATGGTGTAGTAACTGTGAGAAAGATAATGCAGGTAAGTGTTAAAAAAAAAAAAACAGTTGTGATTGTACAATCGTTCACCACAGTTGTGTTTCTAAGTGGTTAAACACTGTCTGTGTGGTGCAAAGGTTGCTCGCTGCTTAGGTTGTTGGAATTTCTGTGCTTGTTTCAAACATGTAATTACAAGCCTTAAAGCCTACTCAAGGCAAGAGATGTACAAGAACTGTAACAAGTAATTGTTCTGGTCAATTAAAGTACGTAGTTATACTGTATAATGGAAAAGTTTGACTCATTGCTTAATAGTGAAATCCAACTGCGTCAGTTTTAATCTCTTATTAGTCTGAATCAATACGAACCTTAATGGAGCTGAAAGTCATATAAAGTTCAAGCTTTGTGGCAACAAGTTTTAAACTTTTATATAATGGACTGTGCCTTTTAAATGTCTCACCTACATGTCTCTCTCTCTCTCTCTCTCTCTCTCTCTCTCTCTCTCTCTCTCTCTCTCTCTCTCTCTCTCTCTCTCTCTCTCTCTCCTCAGTTCTTTGCCATGGGCGTATCGAGTATATTTATCATGCTTCTGTCTGGAGCTGTCACATTTCCCTCCGCTGTGATTTTCGTCTCTGCTGCTATATGTTTATCCACCTTCACCAGCTGGTATGTCCGATTATTGTTGTGTGTTTAAGATATTTGCTCAACCTTAAGTAATAACCAGGAATGAAAGATTTGTCCAGTTGAGCTTCAGTCAATATTTAAAGGATAATACTCACCTTATTCTTTATTTCTGTTATTGTCAACGTATTCTAGTGTAAAGACGGAAAGAATGTGTTAGTTACTCTCAACACAACTTTATTTCTATAGCATTTTACTCACAACACAGTAGGCTTTAAGTGTTTAACATAAGAAAAACAAACCACATGGTTGCACAAATCAGGGGGAAGTAGTTTGTCTGCATTATAGTGAAAAGACAAGTTTTTGTGTAATATGTAGCAAAGCCTTTTTAGCAACTCTACCAGTACACCTACGTGTCACAATGCCTCTCAGCACACAACCTTTAATTCATGGTGGTGGTGGCTGAAGCTGTCAGTGCTCTGCTCAGTCCTTGCTGCCGTTCATACAGCATTTCAAAAGCCCCCACCTCTACCTCAGCGTCCACCTGTAGTTCTCTGAGTCTTCAACCCCTCCAGGTGGGAAGGAAAGTTACTGTTATGGCTCCCTCACTTTATACAGTCACATAGGATTGTGTTAGATATAATAAAGAATATCACCAGACTTATCCTTCACATCCAGTCCCTATTTTTATAGTTAGGTTCAGTGTGCTGTAGATGTAGATTCTGCTGTTTATGTATTATGTATGTATTCAATGTGTTTCAGTGGTGTGTCAGTGAACGTACAGGATCTCACCCCATCGCGTGCCGGTGCCCTCTATGGTGAGTTTCTATCAGCCGACATTTCACTTTCATCTGAGTTGTTGTTGATAGACATTTAATCACGTTTCTGTTTCTGCACCAGGTTTCATGAATATGCTGGGTGCTTTTATGGGTATGTATCCAAGAGGTTTATTATTTTTTCATGCTGTGTTTAGGAAATTTAACTATCTTATCTGGAATTTAAAAGTCTAAATGAGTTACTGCTGGCACTGATCTCAAATGCCTCCTGTCCTTTTGCTTGGTGTGTGTTGCAGGACTGGTGTTGGTCTCGCTGTCGGGTTACCTGATTGAGGTCACGCTGTCGTGGGCCACCGTGTTCTCCCTCATCATTTTAGTAAATGCCACAGGCCTTGGGATTTTCCTCATCTTTGGAGGTGGTCAGCGTGTCGACGTGGAAGATTACAGCCAGGTTATTGTGATTTGACCCAGACCCTTTTGTCTGTATCCGATCTGGGAGACAGGGCATTATATTTAAATCTCTATCCGTAGTATAAATAAAAGTGGAAGTACTGCAGACTTCCTCTTGAAAATGAAGGAACCTGAATATTCCAGGCAAGTTTTAGTTCTGTTGTGTTTACTGTAAGGCAAGTTTATTTATAAAGCACATTTCACACACACACACACACACACACACACACACACACACACACACACACACACACACACACACACATACACACACAGGCAACTCTAGGTGCTTTACATAAGGACAAAGACACAAGTAAGAGAGGGGGCAAGACCTAGTTTGTGAAAATTTAACAGCGAATGCAGTTTTAATTAAAAGGCAGTAATGAACATAAAAGCCTGTTTTTAATACTACAAACAGTCTCTGTTCAGATTAGTGACTAAATGCAGCCTCACCATGTTTTGTTCTGACTCTGGGGACAGTTAGCTGACCTGTTTCGGATGACGTAAGAGACCTGAGGGGTTCACATGGAAGAAGTAGGTCAGAAATGTATTCAGGCACTGAGCCATGAAATGATTTATCGACAACCTGCAGTAACTTAAAGTTGGTTCTATAAGTGACGGTTAAACCTGGTGCAGAGACCTGGGGGCTGGTGTAATGTAATCTTATAATGTGACCTGAGAAAAGACACTGTCTGCTAAATGTGACTGCATTGTGCAAATGTGTATGACATATGAAATTCTGATTTACACACAGAAATGTTTACATTAATGACTACATGCGAGCTGCTGGTGACTGTACAATGCCACTCGTTAAGAGATTAATTATATTATAGCCTATAATTTAACTCTATACCAGGGCAAACTGAGACGAGGTAAAGAATCTCTGTTGAGTTATTCGTTGTTAGGTTCAATTCAATTGTATTTGTATAGCAGCAAATCACCGTTCTAGATGTAGAAAGACCCAACAATTACCACCATGAGTAAACACTTGGCAGCAGTGATAAGGAAAAACTTCCTCTTAAGAGGCAGAAGAGGCCGTCTGCCTCGACCAGTTTACATACTTTACTTTTTAAAAAGGCTAAACCATTTCATGTAAAAAGCCAAGTGCTGTAGTTTATAATAAACGTACCTCAAACAGAAGTAAAAAAAATGTTTGTTTGGGAATGTTTTCTGCTGTAGATTTGGTGCTCTAGTGCAACGTTTTACACCGCGTACCACCTCAGAACATATTAGGCTCTCCACCATTATGACGTTCAAATACAGTAGGGTAGTCCGACCCTATTCAGTGCCCGCCTGTTGTTGAATCCTGTTAACGGGACTACGTAGCAGGCTGATATTTAAACAAACGGCGTTTCCTGGAATTTGTTGACAATAAGAAAAACTTTACTCATCAGAGACCAGACTTTGCCCATCATGCCACCGTTTGCCATAGAAGTTTTGACTGAACGTCTACTGTTAAGATTCCTCACTTACAGTAAACAAGTTTGTTTTTTATTATATTTTATTATATTATCTGTTAGTCCTGTGTTTGGTTTGATATTAGCCGAAATGTTCAAAAGTGCAGTGGCATTAATACACCAGGTTGGAAACAATCTCGTGTCATGACATGCAGTTTGCTTGAAGCGGCTTCACACTTGACTTAAAATATTTTAATGTAGCTCTGGTATGTTTATTTATAATCACATTATTATACATATTTATTCAACTGAACACTCTTTTTTTTTTTTTTAGAGAGAGTGGTTCAGTTTTTACGGTATTGTAAAGTTTATCTATGGATTGTGTTTGTAAACTGTCACATAATATGTCAAGATGTTAATGAATGACCTTGTTTAAGACACAAAAATACTATTTTTAACAAAATAATGTTTCTTTGTGTGTTTCTTTAAATGGGTGAAAGGTTTTAAGTTATAAATTGAATTCTATTGATCCACCAAACTGACGGCCGGTCGGCTACAATCTTCAGCCGTTCATTGATTGTCAGCACTGTCTGTAAATCTAATTCTTAATGTAGAAACACTCAACAAAACACAATAGTAAGAACACATATTTCACATATAACATGTACATACAGATCATATTTGCTATAAAAGAAAATGTACCCAATCATCAAGTAGTACTAGTAAATAACTGTCCAGTTACACAAGTATACGAAATGTAATGATATTTGAATCTTATTCTCTCAATAACATGGAAAAATATTGAAATAACTATTAGTAACATTATAATGATAAAATAAATAGTAATAAAACTGCTTATTATCAGAGGTCACATTCATAATAAAGATATAAAGCTGCAGGCTGTGGATGTTTAATATCACTGGTACTGAGAACTGGATAATGAAGTATAACCACAATCTACTTCTGAAATATTGAAGGAGGAGGATGTATGTGCACACTACATATTTATTAAAGATGAAGAAAGTAAACGTGTATTTAAAAATATATAAAATATGTTCAATACATTAGCTCACATGTTGTCTACAGGCAGTAATGACTGTCAGTGTTACTGTCATCTGTGTGTTTTCTGAGAGGAAGAAATGGTTTTATTATAAAAAACAAACAAAATTAAATTGTGTTTTTATAAAAGGTGATACTAAAAAGGTCAAGTATTAAAATATTATTTGAGGAGATTTGTTTGAAGGGGCAAAAATGTTAAAACAGATTTTTCTGATCATAATAAAAATTCATATCTGGGAAAAAAGAGGCCACCTTGTGGTTTGAAGGAATGAGTGCATCCATCACTACCTCCATATGTTTCTGTGTTGTGATGTTTGTTGATGTGTAAAAAATATAATATATAATTATACATATAATTATCTCTGAAAATATAAGATGTTTCCATGAAAGGACATTAAATGAACTTAATTACTAACCACAATTAAGCATTCAGATGGGAAAAAGGTTATGAAGAATGAACAACAATTTAGTCATAGACTTCTTTAATATTAGGTTATGTAAAAATAAAGACAATTTAAAGATTGTTTATTATTTTGTTGTGTTTATGTTTCATACCCTTTAAAGGTAAACCTCATTAAAGTAGCCTTAAAATGTCTAACAAATGAGAATTAAAGGTTCTATATGAATATACTAGAGTACCAGTATATCAGAGTGAAACAATGGAAATAAAGAAATAAAATTAATCTCGACTTTGTCTTCAACAACGCTGGTTTGGTGGAAATAAACCTTTAATACACAGAGATACAAAAATGGCTGCAACAACGTCAAAGTATGTTCACTAAAAGTGGTTGTTTTGCAAATTAGAACATCATAATATAAACTCTAGTGAAGAGTGGGACTATATATAGTTATAAATACGCTCAACCAAATATGTATATTTTAGTTCCCTAAACTTATTGATACTGTCTGTTAAATTATTAGAATTATTGATCCTATGAACCTTCAAGTTATTTATCTTGCCCTTTTAGTCCAATTGTCTTTTCTCTTCTTTTTGTGTTTTCTTGTGAGGTTATCTTGTTGTTACGTGATCTGTGTTGTGTTTTGTCTTCATTTTTGTCTTTCACTTAAAAAAAAAAGCTTGTTTTGTCCACTGAGAGGTTCAGATTGTTTTCCTACAACATTGTGGAAAGGATCCCTGCAGAGAGAAGAGACCATTTCTTAACAACCACCAGAAAATATAACTTTATTCAAAGTGGACAGAAACAAAATGAGGAAATTGGACTTGTACCTTAACTGAGTGACATCACTCGAGGCACTTTATCAGACTTCACAACAGGGATTTATCTACACAACTGCTGTACGCCATAAAAATGTCTGTAGATTTTACAGTAAAAGACTATAAAAATAAAACTCTAAATAGTTTAAATACAGTTTCTGTAACAATAAAACAGTCATATCTTATGGCAAAACCTTTATATTTATTATGCAGCAGTTTAAATTAATTTATACAGAATAAAGTATTATTTTTATATTACAACCTATAAATTACACTAGAAAACCACCATCATATCTCAAAACTCAGTGGCAAAAACCTTTTTTATTCAGCTGGTGTTTTCATATAAAACTGTTTCTTTTGATGGTAAGAACTTATTTATAAGAGAGTGAGGGTAAAAGACTGTAAACTCTAAATAGGTTAAACACAGTCCTATCTCATGGCAAAACGTTTATTTATACAGAATTTTGGAAAGAAATCGTATTAATATGGTAAAATATGGAATAAAACTTATAATAAACAGTCTTAATATCCTTTTTACTGTAATTGTAGAAAAAGTTCTGGCAACCAATTTTAACCATTTTCCTTATTTCAGTATAAATAACAAGAAAAGTTCTTGCTGAAACTTTAATTTAATTGAAATACATCGACAGAAGGAGGCTCCTGTGCTGTGGGACATGTTTGAGTTTCTGGTTTCAGCACCCTGGTCAGCGCAGCCCGCAGCCCGCAGTGCTCCTCCGTCCGCAGAGATGGAGAGAAATGTAATCCGGATACATTATATGAAGCTTTAATGGGGGGGGGATCCACGTCATGACGTTATTGCTTTAGCCTATGAGGACCGGAGCTTAGAAAGCCTGCACGCAAATCAGCACGGGGAGGCTTTTTGATGTAGAGAAATGTCTAATATTAAAAAAAAACAAAAACAACAACAACAGAGGAATAAATAATCTGTTCGGCATTTTAACCTCAAGCTGTGATATGAGCCTGAAGCTTTCATCTCCTCTGGACACCATCAGCGGGCCTGAGTCCGCCTGCCTCCACCGACTCACCAGCAGCAGCTGTCGGACGGTGTTGTTGGGCCTGATTTAAACCTCCACATCCATCCTCTTTAGAGCAGATAACGCAGGGATGTTTGCACCGAGGAGGGTCAGCTGTGGACCCCCGAAGATCAGCTGCTGGTGCTGCGGAATGAAGGCGCGCAGCTGCGCACACCGGAGCCGGAGCTGAGGAACTGGACAGTTCATTATGGCGTTACACGGAGAAAGAAGGCTTCAGATCCCCAACAAGGACCAGAAGGAGGAGAAGGAGAAGATGTCTGCTGATTTTTAAACATTGTGTTAGAGTGTTATTTTTTATTTGGTGTAACATAGTATAGCTGCAACATTTGAGGACATTTTAAATCTCTTGCATTGCGTTTGTGGCGCTCAGGCCTGTCGAGTCATTTATGTTGTGTGTGTGTGTGTTAGATCCCGTGATGTTTAATGCTCATAAAGCTCCAACTTTCCTTCCGATGAGGGGACAGGGATTGCCGCTCCTCGTGTTCACGGCGGACCTTGATTTATTAGCCATACAATTAAGGCACGCGGTGAATGCCAAGAGAGGAATCACACTACACCTCCGCGTCCTGCATCATTTATGATGATGGAGAGATTTAAAACATCTGCGAGAGAGAGAGAGAGAGAGAGAGAGAGAGAGAGAGATAACACACACCAGGAACAAAGACTGCCTCTTTCTAACCGCTCAGGACCAAAATATAACCAAACTGTGTTGTTCTTCTTGCAGGTTTTGTAATGTTCCCATAAGACTGTCACATAAATCAGTATTTGGTGGGGTAACTATAATTCATATTCTGTTAACAAAATGTATCAGAGCTGTATCTAATTGTTATTATATTAGGTATCGATTCATTATTTGGTCAAAAGTCAGAAAATAGGCCAGTGGTGTAGTTTACAGGCAGGGGCGGATGTAGAGAAATATTCATGGGGTGTCCAGAGGGTGGCAGGGAGACTTTAAGGGGTAAGAAATATATGTTCATTTAGTATCGATTAAACCCCCCAAGGGAAGAAATGTGAACTCAAAAACATTATTTATAAACTCTATTGTGTCACATTAGGAAGGCATTAAATATCTAGAGATGTATTTTACATTGAACTTAAGCCTCATTTAGTCTCAACTGTGTTTTATATTAATTTATGTTTTTTAACATGTTATTTTTAATATTAATCGAAATGATTGTGTTCAATTTGACACTAAACTGAGGTTACAGTCATTTTTTAGAGGTGGCACCCTAATGCTGCCCCTGTAGATCCGCTCCTGTTTACAGGCTCCAAGCTGATGACTTCAGCTGAACTGAATTGTCAATTAATCATTTAATTGATTGACACAAAGATAATCAGGAAATATTTTGAACAAAAGAAATAAATAAATAAAGAGGCGAAGATTATATGTATAAAAAGTCTAATAAAATCCAATATTACAAAAGTAGATTAAACTGTACAACAGCAGATAAAGATTTAGTGGATTAATGCAGAATTAATATGAATCCAAAAACATCATATATACAACAGTAAAACACTAACAGAGGACATTTAACTGCATAATGAGCACTTTGACTTTAGATAGTTTAAGTAAATGTTGCATATATTTAAATAATGTTCTGAATGCAGGTTCTTTACTTATTATTACTGTTGCTTAAAGCTCCCCTCCAGATGTGTATTAAGAGAAATACAAATAATAATAATGTGTGTCTGATATGTTTTTTTTCCCCCACAAAAAACAAGCATCTACTCCTCCTGCCTCATTCAAATATGCACATTTTGTTCATTTATTATTTTCCTGCTGGACCCAAGATGTCTCCTTCATCACTATAAAGTCCATTCTTAGTGTTTGTGCTCGCGGCTTCAAGTTTCTACATCACACTTGTTTAAATTTCATACTGGACCAGGATGAAACGTTCCACTTTCAGCAGATCTAGTGTCAAACTCTGCACACACATCGTTCTGCACAGTGAAGATTAAATTCGTAGGAACGAGACGAAAAACTGATTTTCTAAGTGGAGTCTGAGTAAACAATCTTATATTTGCCTCTGAGATGTAGTCGAGTACAAGTGTAAAGTAGAAATACTAAAGTAAAGTACAAGTACCTCAACTTCTACCTTAAGTAAATGTGTTGTTATATTCCTCCACTGGAGAGAG